TTCATAAGTTCAAACGTATTGTTCCTCGGATTCATGGACAGGTTGTCATGTAAGCCTATGTTAACGTGAATATGAACAATTGCCTGTTCCTTTGCGATTATAATTAGGATTATATTGCATTTCACCTTAAAAGCATTATCAGGGGATAAAGACAGCGTGCATTGAGCAGATAATAAAAACCTCTAAAATAAAAGTGCACGTCTAGTCAAGGTTTAGGCACCAAAATGCAACATTTGTGTCGGAAATATCCAGCAGAAGAATCTCATCGTGGGGAATGACCGCGAAACTACGGGTATCCCTTTCATATCTTAAGAGTCTGAAAGGAAACTACGTCAAGAGGTGAACAGCAGTTAGCTGTCGGATACTGAGTTCACCGGCAAGATCACAGACAGCAGAGATGAGCGCAAGACAGGGTTAGAAGCTAACGTCCACGAGTGTCATCGCTGTGAAAGATAACTTCGGTCAACTCAGTACCAAAAAGTCGAACTTAATTGAAATTCTGGAAAGAGATAGTAGGTTGAGAAGACAGAGAGCGGGTTAAAAGAGCAACCAGTTAATAAATCAAGCAATAAAAGTAACCCCAACTACAATCTGTGAAACCGCAGGGGTAATATTTCGATATTTTGGATTCCTAATTTTTCGGTAAAATAATGCCGAACGGACGCAGTCCCTGTCCGTTCTGGACACAAAAACGACTAAACACCATTAAATTATGTAAATCTGTCCATATTTAGTTTAAATTTTATAAAAAAACACAGTCTTATTCCATGAATTCTAAAATTCCAAAGGATAAGTAGGGTCTTCCGGCGCTCCGACGACATTCTCGTTAGGTTACTCCAAAAGACGAAGATGCTTGGAATAGACTATACCCAGAACGCCCTTCTCAGTTAAACCTCGAGCACCACCGCTGATTTCCGAACAGTGATCCCATATGAAACCCATAACTGAACTTTTGTGCAGAGCAAGAGGAAAACATCATGAGTAACAATATTAGACCATAACATATAATTCGTCGATAGAAACGAACAGAAGAATGCCATCAGAGACTAGACGCTGTGAGTTCATGGGCGAGAACGGTATAAAACTGCTTCGACAGAGGGTGACTGAGCGAGCGAGCGAACAGAGAGCAACATTAAACGCTGCACTGGAGTATAAGTTCTGCAAACTGCCTGGTCCGGCGACATGTTGGCACACAACCTGTCGTCGGAGATACTGACGAAGGGCCAAGTACAGGTTTTAAGGCATAAAAGCTCCTTCAGTATAACTAACGCAAAACATTATTGCAATAGTTGAGTTCGGTCCTCAATCTGACGGAAGTGGCGGGGAAGATGAAGAACCTTATCTGACACCAAGTGTTGTCTCTCCTTATGGCTCGTAAGGCGCGTGAAATACTCCCCAAGGTCGAACTTGATGCAGTAAGAGAAGTCAAGGGCAAGAGGGACGTCGTTAAATTGCCCGCGGACAACGGGCGTTCCACCGTCGTATTAAACAGAACTAACTACCTTCAGAAGGCCAAAAGACGTCTTGGGAGATCGCCAGTTTTATGTCGCATACGAAACCAACCCCGTAAAAACGCTGGCACGCGAGATAAATGCGACGCTGTTGGAAATGGAGAACTGAGGTGCGATAAAGTCGACCGACTGACACATGGCGAGAGTCAGCGAATCGGTCATGGCCCGATTCTGTGGTCTCTCCATGGTGCTCGAAGAGGGCGCTCCTCTCCGGCCTGCCGTATCGCTCGTTGATACGTCAATATACGGGCTGGAGATGCGGCTGTTTCGGTGTCTCAAATTTTCGGCTGCTCATTCAGACACCACGTCCTGTTGGCCAACACAATTCCTGAAGAAACATAAAGGGCAATGCTCCTGCCAAACGGTGTCATGGCATCTTTTGATTTCAAAGGAAAATTTAGCGAACATACGTAAGCTTTCGGTAAATTCTCACCAGGCTATCGAAAATGCAATCGAAATGATTAAAAAGGAAATGCGGGCAAGCAGAAGTTATTCTGTAACTGGGGTTTGGGGGAGGGTCTGGGTGGGTGAGGTGGAAAACATCCCTCTTTACTTCTATTACCCAGGATCAGACAATTGAGACCATCGAACTACACCTACAAGGCAAATACGATGAAACGGAGAATCGCCTCGGACACACCCAGTCCCTTAAGGTCCTGAAATTCTGTCTCCTAACATACTTTATGTTCGGTGGAACAATCTACAAGCAGGTGAAGGAATACCACTGGGTTCCCCGATTTCGGGACTCATGGCCGAAGCGGTCCTGCACGGTTGTGGTTCCTGTCTTTCCAGCACCAGTGAACGGAATTATAGAATCGGTATGTGGAGGATGCTTTCGTCGTCAGAGAACGGCAGGTGCTAACATTTTAACAACATCCTTACGTCGTCTTCCCGGACATAGAATTTTCGATGGGGGAGGAAAAACATAACTGGCGGGTCTTTTTATTGTTTTTGTTTGCCATAATGATTGAAATGGCCTAAAGACCAAAGTGTTCAGTAAAGCGATAAGTACGACTCAAGTGCTGAACCTCAATAGTAACCACCTAATTAACCGCTAATGTAGTTAGATAAGGACGTTGCATCGTCGTGTTGCGACGTACTCCAGTGAACCGGATGACAAGGTGGTTGAATTCCGATATATTTGAGGACTGTTCAGAGAAAATGGCCACCCGCGTATTTTCATCAACCGATGCGCGTGAAGACGAGATGAGAGGTCAAATCGTAACGATCCCAAATTTTGGCGAGCGCAGCCGCACGTCAAGAACGTCTCGGAGGCCGTCAGCCGCCTTATCGTATTACTTGGAGTTGGAGTTGCACACAGACCAGTGATATACATCAGACAGCAGCTAATGAGACCAAAAGACCCACTGCTGTGACATGGAACATCTGGAGTCGTTTATCGGATCTGGTGCAGTTGCTGACAAAGCAACTACGTCAGAGAAACTGGAAGATCGATCTGAACGCGAATAGCCAAACACGCGGCGGCGGTGCGGAAAAATGATGTCAGCCCCAAGTCGCGGCCCATTTGACGGACCCGGTCACACATCCAGGTTCGACGAGGCCAACATTATCGCAAGAGTCGGCAATCCAGCGAGCCATCAGTGGCTTGATTCATGGTTCACTGACCCTTAAACTGTTAACAAACGGAATGATCCTACCCTTCCGTATTCGGTTTTGTGGCTTGGGCTGGGCAGAGCAGTTAGCCACGCGATGAGCGCACAGACGAGCACTGCTTACAATGCCAGTATCGGTGAGCTAGTTAGCCGAGTAACCGTCACGCCAACATGTTGAATGGGTGATGAGATTTTTGCTATTAACGACTCGAGTGCTGACCACGAAACCGTTATGGAACCGAGGGCAAACATCACAGGTGGGGACGGAACCGTCAATTTTCATGGGTATACGGTAGCATAGCGACTGCACCCTTTAAATGATGTAGCCACACGTGCATGGATTACCCATAGTTGATGTCCCTGATGTTGGGCTGCAGCGTGAATCGGAAACGTCAAGCGAATAAAACCCCTTGTTCCGGCAATCACATCTGCTTCTTTTGAAGCTCCAACCTTCGACTCAGGTACTCGAGATCCCGGGGATCAACTGCGACGTTACCCTCCAACACAGCGACCCACTCCACTCCTAAAATAGACACTGTGTGGTCAATGCCTCTTGCAACAGGTGAACCATGCGCTGCTTGCATGGGAACCAGTCAATGCCTGTCCGGCTTAGATACGACTGAAGGGACACTTCAGTGAGACCTCTGTCGTCTCCACACACGCGTCAACACCAACTGCCTGATTGGGCTTGGTGACTTTTCAAATAATCCCCATCTTGACTTCTATGGGTTTCACTCGGTGAGACAACAATGAGGGAGTTCTGAATTTTTGTGACAAGACCCGACTCCTTGTCGTCAACACAGGGTTTCAGCACCGCCACAAACACCTGCTGACCCGGTATTGAAACGACAGTCATATGACAATTCAGATCGATTGCATCCAAATCAGTTCAAGTTTCCGAAGCCAAGTTCATGGTAGCAGATCGATGCACGGTTCTGAAAGTGACAACGTCCATTGGTCAGACCACATTCTCGTTCTGACGCGTCCGAAAGTTCAACCCTCGTCCATATCCAAACTGTCATGAACAAGACCACTTAATGTCGCAAAACCACGACCGCCCAGCATAGTCGGAACCCTGAACAGAGAAATTCGGTCACGCCTGACTACTAAAGTTAAAGGAGTGGGAAGTAGCAAATGGCCATTACTGAATTAACCTAACAATACAACAGTTATTAGTTCGGTCGAAGAACCAAGCAGTTATCTGTTCAGATGACTGGAGCTACGTCCCTCAACGATTTTTCCCTCTACCAACCACATAAAAAGACGGCAAAGTCGGCATGAGATGATCGCAAACACGCTGGGCCCAAATATTGACCTTCATGAGGCGGGCCTTAAATACTGTTGACACAAAAACCCTACCAAATTATTTTTTAACTAGTTATACTCCCTCTGCACTGAGTGGCGCCGTCCACTATCTAAATTCACAAACTTTAAGCTGACAAATAGGCCAGTGTCGTGCGCCTACGTGGGTACTTCGTGGACCTTCTCAAATTCAGTGATCGGCCCATCATACGTACGCAAAGTTTAATTCCATTTCCCCATAGGAAGTGTCTTGTAACCCCGCTAATAGAGAGAGATCAAAAGGGAACACAGGACGTTTAGGGTGGAAGCTATTCCCGCTGAGATCTGCAAGTCTTGTGTCGTCAATGTAACATCACTGCTTAATAAGAAAAGGGAGGAAGCGGAAGTGCGAGATGCAGGACGCTTTGACGGTTGGCAAGGCTGAGGAGATCCAAGGGTACGCCGACCGCAAAGAATGGAATAACACCTCCTCCTCGATCAGGGCTGACTACAGTCCCACACTCAAAGGCAGTGCCCATCTTCTCAGCGCCGACAGAACTGCCCAACAATCTGAACAGACACAAATCATTCAGCGATGGACGAGGCACTTCAGAAGCGTCCTCAACCCTCCCCCCAACTGCTCCGACGCCGCAATCACCGTCTGCTTCAACTGGGGACCAACGCCGACCTCAACCTCTCGTCCTCTCTATACGAAACCATCAGGGCCATGGAACAACCCTCTTGCAGGAAAGCACCCGGGTCAGAGGCGACCGTCGCTGAGATTTACAAGCACGGCGCCACCCACCTCATATAACATCTAATGGCGCTCTTTCAGAAGATGTGGGGTCAAGGACAAGTCCCCAGGATTTCAAGGACACCACAATCGTCTATCTCTATAAGCCGAAAGGTAACTCCCAATTCTGCGACAACCACAGTCGCACGCGCCCACGCCTCAACCACATGGTGGGTAGAGGCGTGGACTTCTAAGCCAACAGGTCGCGAGTTCGAGGCTCGGGTGTTCCACACTTCGGGCTTGGGTATGGCTGGCTGACGACGGCCAATAAGCCAGAAATGGCCATTCCAGTCTCCCTTGTCTTTGTCGGTAATATCATTCTGCCTATATATCATGCGCCGCTGTGCGGCTGCTGGTTGGGCTCGAGAGAGAGCCCTTAAGGCACAACGGAACGAGTGAGTTCCGTATGAACGATCGGTGAGCGCCCCCTACCATTGTATATTCCCGATCGAAAACCGACAAGGCAACGGGCTCGTGGCCCGGTGGGTAGAGGCGTGGACTTCTAAAACCAACAGGTCGCGAGTTCGAGGCTCGGGTGTTCCACACTTCGGGCTTGGGTATGGCTGGCTGACGACGGCTAATAAGCCAGAAATGGCCATTCCAGTCTCCCTTGTCTTTGTCGGTAATATCATTCTGCCTACAGGAGCATCTCCCCACCTAACATTGCCGGAAAGATCTTCGCTCGCATCCTTTTCAGCCGCCTCAACAAACGTCTGGAACAAGGTATCCTGCCGCAAAGTCTGTGCAGCTTCCACTGTCATCGCGAAACCACCGACATGAGCTTCGTCACCCATCAAGTGCATAAGATGTGTCAGGAAATGCAAATCCACGTCTACTCTACCTTCGGTGATCTGACGAAGCCTTCGACACGGTAAATCGCGAAGGACTGTGGAAAATCATGCAGAAATTCGGCTGTCCCGAGTGATCCACTCAGATGTTGCGGCAGCTCCACGATGACATGATGATACGCGTCAAGGACAATGGAGTCATCTCAGAGGCATTCGCAGTGAGCAACGGCGTGAAGCAGGGCTGCGTCCTCGCGCATACCCTTTTCAGTCTCATGCTTACTGCCATGCGGATGGAGGCCTACCGTGACGGACATCCTGGGATCCGCATCGCCTACAGGACGGACGGCCAACTCCTCAATCAGCGACAGATGCACTTTCAGTCACGTGTATCCACAACTGCCGTCCATGAACTTCTCTTCACCGACAACTGCGCCCTCAATACCACTTCGGAAGAGGACGTGCAAAGGGGCATGGGCATCTTCGCCGCCGCCGCCGCCGCCGCCTGCGACAACCTCGGCCTGTCCATCAACATGACGAAGAGGGTGGTCATACATCAACCACAACCCGACGCTGCCTACAACGCACCCCAAATCAACGTGAACGGCGCCCAGCTGCAAGTGGTGGATAACTTCACCTATTTGGGCAGCCCCATCTCCCTCGTCCCCAAGATCTACCATGAAGTAATCCACCGGAGCTCCAAAGCCAGTCAAGCCTTCGACCGATTGCAAAGCACAGTTTGGAATCGTCACGGTCTCCGTCTCAGCATCAAACTGATGATGTACAGGGCGGTCATCCTGCCGACACTGCTGTATGGAGCGGAAACCTGGACGGTCTACAAGCAGGCGCGGAGACTCAATCACACCCAACTTAACTGTCTTCGACGGATACTGAAGCTTAGGTGGCAGAACCGGATCCCCGACACTGACGTACCGGAGCGGACGGCAATCCACAGCATCTACGCCATGCTGAGACAACTTCAGTTGCGTTGGAGCGGCCAACTCGCGCGGATGGACGGCTAGCGGATATCCAAACTACTCTACTACGGAGATATCACCACGGGTTCCTGCCGTCAGGGGGACCAAGTCCCCGCCACAAGGACACTCTGAAGACCTCCCTGAAGCGTCTGCAGATCAATCCGACCAATTGGGAAGACCTCACCAGAGACCGATCGACCTGGAGGAGGACAGTGAAGACAGGCAGAGCGATCTACGAGACCAGCCGCATCGCCACCGCCAAAGCCAAACGAGAAGCACGCAAGTATCAACTGTGCCTAACCGCCCCCAACGTGTCCATGCTGCCAGCGGACCTTCCGGGTACCGATCGGACTTGAGCGACATATTCCTACGAACTACAGCCCCCGGACTGCAGCAACTGCTGTCTCCTCGTTCAAATCTGTCTCGTCCTCTACGTTGACAATTAATACTGGCCGCACTCCTGAACCCTCACTAGCATCCTCCTACTCCTTCTCCTCCTGCACTATCTCAACATGTGCTGCGGCGGCTCCTCTACCCACCACCGCTGCACACAAGCCTGACGCTCCAACAAACACCCACACCACCATTATCGACACCAGTGGTGAGGAGCTGGCCTACACCTATCCTCATTGTGATCGCGCCTTCACCTCACACATCGGCCTGGTCGGTCACTTGCGAATCCATCGCACAGAGACTGACGAACCAGTGCCTGGGGTATCAACCTATACCCACTGCATCCGCTCCAACTGCCCTCACCGCACCTGCGCATTTACTCAACGCATGGGCCTATTGGGCCAAATGCTCATTCACGAAAACATGTGGCAGACAACCGTCGGCTACGCCACACAATCACATCTTCCCCCACCTACATCACACAACATCATCAAACGAGCATCCAACTGCCACCTCCCACGCAAGTGGGACATGTGCGTCACGGCTCCGTCTCCAAACGGCTTGCCAGCTGCATGCGTGACTGGAATCTGAGACTATCAAAGTACGTCAAACACCGTTGCTTGGAAGGTTACCAACTGACGAATCAACTCAATACACGCTATCTGCCCAGTTTTGTGTGTTTTTGTGTAGTGGCTGGCTGATAAGCTAAGATTAAGGCTGCCACTGCTCTTTCTTTACGTGACCTCTGACATGCGCATGTGGCGCTCGCAGACAAGGTCACTCGACCATGTCAGATACCGCGCCTATTCCCCGCATCAGTCAACTGACCGGCTCGGACATTGGCTGGGGCCTGGGAATGGGAAGGGAGCGTGAGGTCGACAACTCAGTGCATTTTCCTCACTAAAAACAATCTGACGCGCCTGAAGCTATCATAGTGCGTTAAAAGCCGTGGCTTGGAAGATTGCTAACTTACGGGATACCTTGGATCGCGCAGTCGACCCAGTGTTGTGTGTTTTTGTGGAGTGGCCGGCTGGTGGTCTAAGAGTTAGGCTGCAATGGCTCCTTCTTAATGTGGCCTTTATTGCACTCCCACTCCGTGGGATCCGAGCCGGGTGTGGCGGCACGCCTAGGTGCGGTTTCGGCCGTGCCAGCCTCCATTTCTTTGTCGTTGTTGGTTAAAATCCTGTGGAGCAGAACGCCATGATGCCGACTCGAGCGTGCCATCCACCTTCGCCCTCCCTGCCTCCGGTCTTCCTGACTCTTTCTTGACACGTGGTCCAGGTGGGGTGTGAGGAAGTGAGAGAGAGAGTGCAGCAGCTACTGTGCAAGTCCACATTCACCATACACTAGATCGCGCACTAGTTTTCGTGTCTACTCTCAACTTTCTGTAGACGACACGGTGGACATCGTCGGCAACGGCGGTCGGACTGTCGTGTGCGTATGTGTGACCTCCACTCTTCACCTCTCTAAACGCCGCGTCGAAGTTTCAGTTAAACCTATAGATGTCTTTGTAATGATAATTTATGACGAGCAGCCTATAGGCTGTGAGTTTACAGGAATTTTTTTCAGCCCATCTTAGGGCATTCAAGTTGGGCTGAGTGAAAGTCATGCTCTTGGCAAAGAGCAACGGACAAGATGAAAATGTGGCTAGGATTTTAAATTCCCTCCCCTGTGAAAGAAGGCGTAAGAGGTAGACTTTTTTTTCTTACTCGCACACCACGTGGTGGAGATATGCTCTGTTTTTTCGTAATTCACAAAATGACCGGACTGCTGTACTCGATGCAGCGATTGTTTTGGCATGACGCCGATCCCAAATTCTCACGACTCGATCATAAACAGGAAGTAAAATATGCGTAACACGAAGTGGTTTCTAGTGCCCCATCGTGCCGTCACAAGGCCACAAGGCGGGAAATTTCAGATATTTATAGAAATCCTGGTGTAATTTGTGATCCATGAGTCATATAACTTCGACTGAAGATATAAACAAACTTTCTTAATATACAAGCGGGCTCCGGTTTTTACAACCGCCTATCTGCAAGTATATTTAAAAGTCAATGCCCCCAAGGTCCCACCTATCACCCTTCATACACACCGCACTTTCTGAAGTGATTTCATTATTAAGGAATGTAGCTTGGACATTTTTGATGGGTATGTGTAGGTTTCTTAAACCAAACTAATCGCCGTTGAGTCGATAATTCAAACAAACATTTCCACCAACTACTACGTAGACTGCGAACTTTCATAAACAATTTTCAGTGCAGTATTCTCGTTTACGGTCTGTAAAATGCGATCTGTCAGTCAATTTCAGAACCTACGCGGATTACAGCGTCTTTACCGCATGGAATCGACCGGTGTACGACCTTTTGGAAACGGTTGTGAGGCCAAACTTCCAGACTGTGTCTGTCAAAACAGTCTGGCGCGAAAGTTATTTTTACTTCGAAATCAAATGCCAATTGATTGTTCAGCAACTCCGATGAAAATCTGGGTCGGTTGAGTTTACAAGACAACTTTAGTCTGATCTCGGGTGAAGTCGATCTCAGGCACTAACAGCGTCCTCACGGACGCCCCATAAAACAGTTAATATCGATGAGTGGCTAAGAGGTTAGTAAATAACTAGGTGTTCGCGATTTAAATAGGCGACGAGTCGCTGGATACGTGCGCAGCACACATTCATGATCTGGTTGAGCGTTCAGTAAAGTACACTTGTTTTTTGGATACCAGTATTTCCGCCAGAGAAACTGCAGAATTCATGGGGTTCAAATTTTTTACTCCATACTTCCTGCGTCACGCATTCCAAAAGCCATACTCAGCATCCATTCTTCTCGGCGCTTTGGTTTCGTGATGGATATTTTTTATGTTTGCCGTTAGCTCAAACGCTATACCAATGCCACCAGTGGCCTTTTTAGAAAGTCAGGGCAATATCATCAGCATAGTCGAGATCAGCCAACCGATGCCTGGGTCATATTCAATACCTTGAAAACTACGTAAAGCCCTTACGAATAGTCAGCCGGGGCCCAGTTGGGCAGAATGGGCGACAAAAAAGTAACTTTGTCAAACACCAAATTAGTTTATTATAAACCAGAATTCCACAGTGGTGGAGCGAGCACAGACCCTATCTATGGGGGTGCGAGATTTCTGCCGGGATACTGAGTAGTTTCATCACCCGTCACGGGGACTCGCGGCTGACAAAAAAGAACGCCAAGTCAAAGTCCACAAAACAGACGGCCAGCAGTTTCTATCCGTCATGGAGGAAGTAAGAATAAGTCGTAATGTGGATATCTGGTCAGCACATCCACGTCTAGCAGGAAAACAAGCTTCGTTGGGTCTCGTGTCCGAGGAATGCACACACTGAAATAGCCTAAAAATGACAATTTTAAAGGCGATTGCAGCAACGTCGGTGAGGTTTGTGCCACTGTAGCCCTCGCAGTTTGTCATAAGTCAGGTCTTAGCAACGGGCTCATAGCTCGACCGCCGTTGTCGACGATGTCCGCCGTGTGGTCTACAGCAAGGTGAGAGTAGGCACAAAGACTAGTGCGTCATCTAGTGTATAGTGAATGTGGACTTTCGCAGCATCTTCCTCACTCCCCACCTGGACCCGGTGTCAAGACAAAGCCAAGAAGACCGGAGACAGGGAGGGCGCAGGTGGATGGCACGGTCGAGTGCGCACCTTGGCATTCTACTCCACACCCTCTGGTCCACGCAGCAAATGATCAGGATTTAAACAACAATGACAAAGGAATGGAGGTTGACACGGCTGAAGCCGCACCCAGGCTTGCGGCGACATGGTACAGCTGGGAAAGATTAGGGGTTGGATACCAGTGTCGCAACACTCCGTTACTGATGCTAGTATTATTGCAGTTAGTTACCCATACTGTAAGCGTTGGTAGAGTAGCATTGGCAGCCGTGGTGGCGGTGGTAGTAGTAGTAGTACTAATAGCAGGATTATTAGTAGTATTCGCGTATCAGTGGTGGTAGACGGGGGAAAAAGTTTTCTTCAGTGTTGCGACACTTTATTCCCGCCAGTGGTAGTAGTATTAGTAGTAACAGCGGTAGTAGTGGTAGTAGTAGCAGTAGTAGGGGTGGTGGTAGTAGTAGTAGTATTAGTGGTAGTAGTAGTAGTAGTAGTCCGCCCGTAAGACAGGTTGGTGGGGGAATAGACAATTCTAAGTGTTGCGACACTGTATTCCCGCCAGATTAGGCTCATCAATGGGTCCCTCAGCATTCCCGTCCGCTTCCTGGCAGATACTCCAGTTTGCAAATTGTTGTTTTATAATTTCCTTAGAAGTTAACTGCTAACTTGTAGTAGATCAGTTTATAATGGGTAAGTATTTAATTTTCAGCTATCTCACCACTCCTCTTTTTATTAATTTTCTCACCGCCCTGTTGTGCGTTTTGTGTCCAAAGGGGGTTTTATCCTGGATGCAGGGGGTTTTTAAACTGCACTTTTTTCAAACAAAATAACATTTATAACTTACTATGATAAAATGGTCCGATTGACTTTTCTGATGATGAATGACAAGGGATAATTAAAATCTTGCCACTGCAAACCATACCGTCAGGTTCTTACAGATTAGTTAATCAGTAGAAAATTTGGCTATGTATGGAAAAACTCCACGGCGGTTTAGTCAGAGAGGTATGCAGAAATGCTTTGG